CCAAGGGATGGCTTCCTGGAGGAGGTGGTATGTAAGTTCTTTCATGACCACTGAGTAAGGATTTTAGAGGGGGAGAGGATGGAAGCTCTCACTGTGCATGACAGAGAGCCATTTTCAAGCTGGGACTCAGGGCCTGGCCTTGGAGGGGTTTGTGGACAGAGACCATGAGGCCTCAAAAGCCAGAGGATGGTTTTGAGCAGGGCAATGACCAGTTGGATGAGGTTTAAAAATTATCCCCCTGCCCACTGTGGGGACTGAGGGTGAGAGACCAAGGAGGAGGCAAGGGTCCCAGAGTCTGTGAGCCTAGGACACGGTCCGACATACAGTGGGTGTTCAGTCTGTACCTGCTGAATGAAGGAGTGAGGGTTGTTTGGGCGCCAGTGCATCCTCAAGGACACAAGCTGTGTGATCCCCGAGGCCCTAGCCCACTTGGCAGATACACAGCCTCATACACACGCACAAAGGCACTGTCCTGTGCCTGGAACATAACCTTTTCTACACCTCTGCACCCTCGAGACACACACGCACCCCTCCCAGAGACGCACGCCAACGTCGCACGCAGACGTCCATGTGATCGGCCCTCACACGCCACTCCATCCAGTCATGCACTCTCCTCACACACATAGGCACACTCCTTTGTCCACGTGACACGCACACCCACCTCCAAACACCACACACAGGTCCCCGCGCACGTGTGCTCCCGTTGAGCCACCAATTCTGTGCCTAATAATTAGGCCCCTGAAGCCGCAGTGTCCGCTCCTTCCAACCCCTCCACCCAGGCCCCATCCAGGGGACCAACTGCGCAGCTAAAGCCACACGACACATCTGTCCCATTCATCCACCCCCCCCCCCGCCATCTCCAGTATTTGCAGGAAGACTCAGCGGAGAGCCGTGTAGGAGGAGCACTCTGCGCTGATCCACACGTGGGTGCACAGGTCTGGGCCCACTCTGCAGAGACACGGCCTCCCACCCACGGCTGGGGAGGGCGTGGGAAGTGCGCCGGGTATGAAAGCAGTCCCGAAGACTAGAGCTGGGGAAGCGACGCAGATGGCTGAGCGCCGGTACAGATGTGGTTCCAGCAGCCGGCGCAGACAGAAGCGGGCTCCGGCAGGCACCTCGTAGATCCGGCCCCCCAAAAAGGGGGAGGATCCCCGCACCAATGCGGTCCCAGAGGCCCTCGTTAGACGCGGCCTCGTAGACCATCCCTCTTCCCTACAGGCTCCGAGCAGACCGTTCCTCCGCTCCCGCTCCCCGCCCCAGGTCTCCTCCCCACCGACCCCTACCTCGGCGCCTGGCGACAGTCTCCGCAGCCCGGCGAGCGGTCAGGCTCGCTCCCGAGGTTCGCGCCCCGCCCCACCCGCCTCTCTCTGGTTGGGATCTCAGAGCTCAGACCGCAGGCGCCGCGGCTCCCGGGAGCTCTCCCTCCCTCGCCGGCCGCCGCGCCCCGCCCTCGTTCATCGGTCGTGCTGCGCGGCCCGCGACGCCGCCCAATCAGTGCCCAGCACTCCCGCCCGGCTCCTGGAGGGGAGGGGCCACGGCGGGCAGTGGCTCAGGAGGGGCCCCTCCCTCTGTGGCGGGTCTGGACTTTGTCACGCCCCCGACGCCCCAATTAGAAGGCTACCTGGGCTCCCCCCAAATCCCTCCAACCCTCGGCCTGGGCCTTTTAGCCGGAGCTGGAGAGTGCTTACTCTCCAAAATCCTTTGTCTCCCCAAAATCCTTTGTCTCCTTCCATCTGGGCCTGGCTGGGGCAAGGTGGCAACGTGGGTGAGGGTTTGGGGGCGGGGGTGGAGATGCGCGGTGCCTGCTAGGAGGGGGGCAAAGTGAGATCCGCGGCTAGGATGAGGTAGAGGCTGAGCGCCAGGGAGAAAGGCCAGGAATGGTAGACTCGGGAGTTTAGCCTTCTGCTGGGGGCGGGGGGGGGGTGGGGGAAAGAGGAAGGGGTTTATCACAGAGTGCTGGGGTCATAGCGGATTCATGTTTGGGGAAGAGCTCTATGAAACAGGAAGCAGGAATGGCCTAGCTGGGACAGAGGTCAGGACATCTTGACCTTCACGGTGGCAATTCCTGGGGACTCTGCCCATCCCCGTACCTTTTCTCTGGATTGCTCACCAACTCTTGGTTCAATTATGCTAAGTTCACTTGTGAACCCTTTGGCACCTCACCCCACCACTTGCCCAAAACTGAGTTCCATATCATTCCCCAGACCTGGCCTCTTGTGTCCCTGTCTGGGACCAGAAAGCTAGTCTGAGACCAGAAAACTAGGAGTCACTCTAGCCCCAACCAGCCCTACTCATGCTGGCTCTTCAATATCGCTGGAATCCATTCATTTCTCTCCAGCTCTCTGCCTCTCTCTTAGCTCAGGCCACCATCATTGTGTACCTTGATTGATTGTGCAGCAGCCTCTTCACTGGCCTCCCATCCCCACCCAGTCTCACTCCTCCTACTGGCCTTTCTCCACTTGGCAGCCAGAGCAATGTTTGTTGTTGTTGTTGTTGTTGTTGTTGTTGTTTTTAAGCCAGAGCAATCTTTCAGAAACCCAAGTCTAACTAAGTCAGCTCCTGCTTAGGAATCTTCTGTGGCTCATCAGTACCCTGAGAATAGGTCCAAACAAGCCCTCCATGATCTCAGTCCTAACCACCTTACCTAACTCCTTTCAAGTTTTGGTTCAATGTCCCTCTGCCAGGAGTCCTTCCCTATGATGTCCTCAGTGCCCAGCATGGGTTAACAGCCCCTCCTAGGGATTTCCATGTACTTAGCATCCGTTTACCTGTGTGTTCCCCCTCTGGACAGGGTCTGTGTCTAATGCACCCAACATACAGTCTGACACATCATGAGCAAGTAGGAGCTCAAAAGAGGTTTGTCTAATGAATAATTAGATACGGCATTCGGGTTGGATATGTGGGATTAGAGTTCAGGAAAGAGGGCTGGGCCAGAGAGACAGTTTTGGAAGTTGTCAGAAAAGACCCATAATTATAAGTATAGCCATGGGAAAGGGTGAGATAACTCAGAGCAACTAAAGCAGAGACCAAGGACAGAACACTTGCTTTTAAGGTGGAAAGATTTCTGTATCAAGTAGGATCAATTTTGACTCAGGTAACAGAAATTCCACATAAGAGCCTCAGAGAAGACAACCCAAGGTAAGTAGGTCAGCTCTGCTCCACAAGGACCTTCCAGATGTGGCTCTTTCCACTTACTACGCCAGCAACCTCTGGGTGTGACTCTCGTCTTCATGGTTCAGGGTGGTGGCTAGAGCTGCAACCATTACATATGCATTCCAGGCAGTGGATAAAGACAAGGATGAAGAAGAGAGCAAAGGATCTGCAGCAGCTCTCCTTTAAGGAAAGTTCCCAAAAGGTGTCACATGATACTTCCACATATATCCCATTAGCTAAGACTTAGTCACATGGCCAGACCCAGCAGGGAGAGGAGGCTGGGAAATGCAGTTTCCATGCTAGGCAGCCACATACCCAGTGAAGAACCAAGGGTTGCATCACTACAGAGAGGATAGATACCCAGGGACAACCAGCTGACTCCACCATTGAAAGGGAGGCTGGATGAAGAGGCAGAGAGAGTGCTACTGGTATGCCAGGCACTTTACATATACGTATCTTATCCCAATCTGAGTAGAGGCTGTTATTATCCCTGACTCCTCAAGAAGCTTGAAGAGTTAGGCAACTTGCCTACGGACATACAGTGACCCTTGGCAGAGCTGCAGTTGAAAACTCTTTTCCCTATATACTGGTCTGGCTGGAAAATCAGGAGAGGGTGGGTTCTAGGAGCTGTTGGAAGGAAATCTTTCAACAAAGGAGGGCTTGGTCAACAGTGTCAGAGGCTGACAGGCCAAGCAGGATATGGGCTGAAATATCTGCTTGGATCTAGCAGCAAGGACACTGTTGGTAACCCTGACAAGGGCATTTAGGAGAAGTGGCGGTGGGGGCTGGCAGCCAGCTGCAAAGGGTGGGATGCAGAGGGAAGTATAGAAGTGTAGGTCTTTCTGGAATGGTGACAGGAAGGTAGAGCAGGAAGAGCTGCAGAGGAACAAGGGCCAGGAGGGGCAGAAGAGAGGAGCAAATGCAGGTATTGGAGAGGAGAGGCAGCCTCTGCTAGGAGGCTTCTGGGCCAGATAGAAGTGTTGGATACAAAGGAGGAATCCTTTGATCATTCAGGAAGGAAGGGGGCAGGAGGTGCAAAAGCACGTAGGACTGGAGAACAAAGGGAGGGAAAAAGAAGGAGTTCCCGTCTTGTAAAATCTGAAGGATGATTCTTAGCTGGGGAAGAGGGTAGAAAGTCAAGGGCCTGAAGGACAGGGAGAGGGCTGGCCTGTGCTGTTCAATATCATTTCTTACTGCCACTAGCCATGTGTGGTGATTTAAATTAATTAAAAGTAAATAAAATTAAAAATTCCGTTCCTTGGTTTCACTAGCCACATTTTAAACATTTAGTGGCCACATGTGGCTAGTGACTACTATTTTGGAAAGCACAGATAGAGAATGTTTCCATCACTGCTATTGGGGAGCACTGGTCTAAATGGAATTTGGTGATGGGGGGGTTCCCAGAGACCCTAACTGGCCACAGGTCCAGACTGCAGGTCTTGCCCACTCAGGGCCCCTGGAGAATCCTTCCACATTATCTCCATTCAAGACCTTCCTCCCCTCTTTGGGATTCCCTCAAGTCTCTCTCCTGGAGCAGCCAGCCCCGTTCTTATTCCTGATTTCCTGAGGCCACTCCAGAGAATATCTGCTTGTCTGAGTGCCAGGCCTCCCAAAGCTGTGTTAGGGGTACATGGAGGACCAGAAGGAGCTCCAGTGTTTGGGTACAGTGGCCCATGGACAGAGGTGAGCTGACCGCCAACACTGACTCTGCTGGGCTCAGGGCCTAAGTGTCGACTCACCACTGTCTAACAAGAGATCCAGAGGACCTCAAAGATCTCTCAGCTCAACCCTGCATTCCACAGATGGGGACACCTAGTTTCAGAGAGGGAAAAGTACAGAAGGCGGAAGTTTGTCCTCATTCCTTTTATTGTACTCCACCCCTCACTTTCCCCAGACCTTGTGTTCAGATAGAATTGGTCAGGCCTTAGGTGCTGAGGCTGGGTCATAAGCAGGGAGCGCAGGATTTGGCCAGGGCTCCACCCCAACCCGAGGTAGCTGAGTGAGGATTCATGGCTAGAAGGGACTGTCCTGGCCTGACACACTTAGGAAGAAGCCTAGCTCTGTGGAGGTGCTGTTGCGTGGACCATGTGTCTGTACTTGAGGGCATAGGTCTGTCCAGATGGCTGTGTTTGCAGGGCCCCAGCTGTTCAAAGCCGGAGTGTGGATGGGAGGGGGTTGTGCATGTAGATGAGAGTGTCCATGGGGGTGTGTACATGAGACCATGTGGCTTGTAAATACACCACACACCTACTCAAAGCCTGCACCTGCCAGGTCAGGCAGGCCCAGGCAAAATCTGATACCCAATCGGGAGCAGTTCTTAAACTTTAGCCTTTACAATGGCCTGGAGTGTTTGCCATCCTTGCATCTCCATGGCCAGCCCTAGAGATTCTGGTTCGGGAGATCTGAGGTCGGCCCAGGTGCCTGCAGTGTTGACAAGCTCCCTAGGAAAATCTGGGGCCAGTAAGAAACAGGGCTCAAGCAGAGCCACCCAGTAGAACTCTCTGCAATATTCTGTGTGGTCCAATATGGCGGCTATTAGGCACACGTATCTATTTAGCAGTTGTAATGTGGCCGGCTAGTTTTAGGAACTGAATTGTTTTATTTTATTCAGTTTAAATTAATATAAATTTAAATGGTCATCTCATCGTGACTAGTGTCTGCCATATGGGAAAGCATGAATCTAGAGACACGAGGCAGTGCAGTGCTGAGGGCCCAGAGTGAGAAGCACACAGCTCTGATAGAGGAGTGTGAGAGGAGCCTGGCCCAACCCCAGGCTCTCTAGACTAAGAGTGGCTGAGGCTGGAGCAAAGCTCCCTTGGGGCTTGTGGAGTTGGGGCCAGAGCCCAGACTTGAACAGGTCCCTCCCAGTGTCCCCACTGAGCTGATAAGACCCTAGTGTCTGCCTGGCTAAGAGGGTGGAGAGCTCCTGCAGAGACCATTCTGTCCTGGTTGGGACCCCTCCAGGGCCCCTGCCTGAAGCCTCATGCTGTGTCCAGTCAGGAGTCAGGGGGTGAGGGTCAGGATGTCTTCATGTTCTCCTGCAGGCTCAGGGTGGAGCTGGTGGCTGCGGGGTCACGCTCGCCCTGTGTAAGCATTGGAGGGAACAAAAAGTCAGCCTCAGGGAAGCAGCTGACCCCCCAACACAGACATGTGGACCTAAGGCCTCAGAAAGGCCCCAACTCAGGGAAATCTCTTACCGCCCCTGACCCCATGTGCTCTGCATACTTGAACTTCTTCTGCTTGTAGTAGTGCCTTTTGGGCAGGATGTGGAGCAGCAACAGGTCACAGAGAACCGTGGCCTGAGGGCAAGGAAGGGACAGATAGAGCATGGGAGTCTTGGGGCAGGGACAGAACCCTCCATGTCCCACTTCAATCCTTTCTGGCTGGGGGGCCTGGCTCAACCCTGCTCTATCTAGACCTTAGATTCTGGAAGGGGGGATGAGGCACTGCATGTCCCTTGGGAGAGCAAGACCACCCCATCCCACTTCGGTCCTGCCCCAGCTCTGGGCCTCAGTTTCTTCAGACATACTGTGGGTCTGGGGTGGTGGGCTGGGCTCAGTAAGGATGGGGTAAGCTGCCACTGAGATGTGGAAGGGGAGGGACTGACCTTAGTACAGTGACCCTGTGACCCTAGCACTTACCACCCCAAAGATGCCAATCCCAGAGCCAATGGTTGTCATTGTAGGGATGATGTCAAACTTTCCAGCCTGGTGGCAGGGTCCAGGGAAAGAAGGATTAACAGTCAGAAGGAGCCAGGTAGAAAAGGCCTTCCTCAGAAACCCCAAGGCCAGACTTGGGTCAAGGAACTCCCCCTTTCTACCCTCTACCCCCACCATTAGCCGGCTCCACAGCCTGCTCCGCACAGCTCTGGCTCTATGTGGGGTCTCAGCTGCTGGTTAGAAGTCCTTGGTTTTGACCTTGGCTCTGCTTCCCTGGACAGAGGGAGGTAGTGGAGGAGGTGAGGTCACTGGCTGGAAAGACCTGCCCTCTATGGTTATCAGGCCCATTGGTTATCAGCAGTAAAACTGCTGAATGAAACCCAGTCAACTTCCTGTTGTCTATAACCATGGACACCCGATAAGCACTCACAGGAACTAAGAACATGTCTCTTGCTGTCCTTCACACTGGACACCCACCTTGCCATCCACAAGAATGTCAAAGCGAATCCCAAACACCTTGAAGAGGTGGCGGTGGTTAGTCCCGTTCTCCACAAAGTGCCTGGCAAACCTTGGGGGAAAGGGTGAGGTTGCAGAAGAGGGTGATGGAGAACAGTTTTGGGTCCAGTGTTCTTGGAGTTCAGCAGGAGCCCTTAGAGGTCCATGAGGACAATTCCATGCCCCCAACACCCCAGGCCTCATTCCAGGAATGCTGTATTCAATCCTCACCCTAACTCTTGATGTCAGTGATTTCCCCTGCCAGTCCTGGCCAGGTGGGCCTCAAAGGGTGGGGCTCAGGGTGCCAAGGTCTTGTTCCCTGCAGGCTCCCTGCAGTGGGAGTTGCCCAGCTTCCTCTGCTTTCTTCCTGGGGACACTTATTGGGCCTCAAGGGGTTCTGGGAGTAGAAGACCCACATGAAAACCCTCAACCTTCTGGGAGCCCAAGGAAGGGTGGACCGGTGGGGTCCTGGCAGGCACCTAAAATTGAAGCCTGGAGACAGGTTTTTGTCCTCATACAGTCCATGGAACTCGTAGATGGGTTTGCAGTGGTGCACATGCCAGTCCAGGTCACAGTTCCAGTCAATGGTGATGCCGACCACCCCACCCTGCAGGGAAACCGGTGTTTAAAACCCAGGCTTCAGGATCAAGAAACTCCTGTCTTATGCTGGTGCCAGCAATCTCTTGAAGTGGGGAGCATTTTTTTTGTTTGAGAAGAGATACTGAGGGCAAGGTCCTGTTGCCCCCTCTGGCCCCACCTCCCACCCATCACACGCTGACTTTCTGGTGCTTTCTAGAATATACCAGGTTCTTTCTACCTCAGGGCCTTTGCATATACAGCTCCACGAGGCTGACCCTTTCTTATCCTTTGGTCACTTTCCCTGAGAGGCCTTCCCTAATGACCGCCTCTAGTCTAAAAATGTGTGCCTGTTAGACCCTCTGTTTTCTCCTGGAACATTTGTCACTTTGAAATCATATATTCATTTTGTGTGATTATTAACCCATCTCTTCTAAGACTATAAACTCTGCGAGAGTGGGGCTGTCTGTCTCATTTGTCACTGACTCCTGAGTTCCTAGTGAAAGTTACAGTGTGGAAGGCAATTAAATAATGTTGAATTAAAGAGTGAGTCTGTAAGGACCTGGGTTAGGAAGAGAAAACTTGAGAAAGTGAAGCTTCTCTGAGCAAGGTGAGGATCGGGGACAGGTCGGGGTAGGCTGAGCAACAGGAGAGCTGGGAAGTGGTCAGAGCAGGAGTGGAGCTGGGCGACTAGGCAGGAGGTAGGTATGCAAGGGTCTGGATGATAGTGAGGGGTGAGAAGTTCCTAGTACCGGTGGCAGGGAGATTTTAGGAACAGGGAAGTCTAACATTCAGCTTTCTGGTTGTGTAAGTGTTGCTCCAGTATAAACCGCCTCCAGGGTTTGGGAAACTGAGGCCAAAGGGCAGAACTTGTTTACATATTTTCTGTGGCTGCTTTTGCTCTCTAACAGCTGACTTGAATAAGGTTGGAACAGAGTCCATATGGCCTGCAAAACTGAAACCTCTAGCTCTTTAAAGAAAAACTTTGCTGATCCCTGTTTTAGATAAATGTTTTGTGAGCAAGTTTTGTGTGTATGTGTGATATCACAGAAAAGAAGCTGATTTCCATCCCTAAATAGGCAACTATAAGAAAAGGCTGATGATGATCATGTGGGAACATGTACCCAGAGTCACCACACGGCCGGGCGGTACTGAAGTGCCATCCTATGCACGAACCCACTCGATCTTCGAGACAACCGCACAAGCCTGGTACTATTTTTATTCCCACTATGTAGGTGCAAAAGCTCAGACACACTCAAGGTAAGAGACTAACTAGTCTGAGACCACATTGTTCATTAGGAGCAGAGCCAGGATTTGAACCCAGTCAGACAGGTCTGTGCTCCTTACAAGGTACTGCTTCTCTTGGAACCCCAGGTGACTGTACAGATCCCAGATTCTGGAATTTTCGAGATTCCCGAGCAGGGCACAGGCCTTCTCAGGGCCATAGAGCATGGAATCCAAGCTGCTTTCATCCCATATTTAAAAAACAGTGTGACCTCAGCAAACATCCAGGTGAAAATGTCTGCCCATAACCATTCATTCTGGAAACTTCCTCTGTGTCAGATCCATACCAACCAGGCTCTGCTGAGGACTCAGGCCTGACCCTCAGACTCCCCCGTATTAGGGAATAAATCCACATATATACTCAGCCCATACCTGAGAGGCTTGAGGGGGCATTACCTGGGATGGAAAAGCCTTCTTTGACCTCCTGATTCCAGGACCTAGCCCTCCTCATTAACCTGGCACTGTACCTTCTCAGCCAGGGTGCTAAAATTCTGTCCTGACTCCTGTACCACATAGCCGAGCTTGAACACGGGGCACAGTGGGTGCGAGATCTTGTGATAGAGGCAGGTCTTCATGTAGGCTGCATCCACCTCTTCCACCAGGTTGCGCCTACATAGGGGTGGAGAACATCGGTAGCGGCAGGATGCCAGCGGGGCGGGGTTGGGGGGACCACCATGTCCCAAAGCTCTGGAGATTCCTCACAAGCTCCACAAACCCCCCCCTTCCACAGCCCTTGAGACTAAAGGTGGCCCATCCCAGGAGCCCGGCTCAGGCTTCTTCCCCCAAAGTGAAATCAGTTGAAGTGGAAGGTGACAGAGACAGTTGAGACCAGCTGGAGCAGCCGGCTTGGAGAGGGGAGGTGGGTGCCTGCGTTTCTGCCCCCTTTTCCCACAAACCTGTTGACCTTGAAGCGTGGAAAGCTGATGCTGTTCTTGATGAAGAGTGTGAAGTTCTCGGCCTCTTGGAGAAGGGCAGGGCTGGAGGACACCGTACTCACTTACTGTCTCTCCTCAGGAGTCCCCCATGTGCCCAACAGTGTTTGTCATGGGTATGGGGGTATGAGAACCTATGGGATCTTCCTGGTGCCCTGGAGTGGTGGCGGGGGTGGGGGGCGATGGGTGTGCTGTAATGATGGACTCTCAGGTCCCTTGACCAGGGGCCAGAGGGATCATTGGCTTGGGCCATACAGATGGAGTAAGGGTGGGGCTGGAAGAAGGGAGGACAGATCCTTTCCAGAACATGGATCCAGATGCCCCTTTGTCTGGGCGGGGGAACCTGCTCCCAGCTACCTGGATGGATAAGGCATTACCGTGGGACATTGTCATCCACCTCCACAGGACACCAGCCAAAGATCTCACATGTCTGCACAGTGTCATTGAAGGCCACACACTTGCCTGTGCGTATGCCTGGAGCAAAGGAGGAGCCCGTGGGTGTCCACTCCAAGCTGGGGATAGAGAGGAGGCCCCTCATCCCTGAGAGCCCCCAGTGACGGGACAACAAAGAGCAGAAGCCTGAGGACAGAAATGTGGCTGGGTCTGGGACAGGGCAGGCCAAGGTTAGAATGGCAGGAAGGGAGAGAGCAGGAAGGACTTCCTGGTGGAGGAAGCCTGGAGCAGAACAGAGCTTGTGCAGGGGGACAGGAGGAGGCCAACCTTACCTTGGGCCTTCCTTTCTGCCTTCCCTGGAGTGCAGCCACTGTCATCTGTGCATGTACCCCCTTCTGGGTGCTAGGGGAAGGGAGAGTGGCTGATCCCAGGCCTCTCAGTAGTGTCCTAAGGAGAGCCCCTCCCACCACCAGAGCCCTAGGGAAATCATGAGGCAGTGTTAGCTTTGGGGTGAACTTTGCTTACAGCTTTCTTCCCCAGTACCCTCCCAGGACCCCTCTGGGCTCATGCCAAGCTATGCCAGTGTCACCTGGCAGGGACCAGAGACGTTAGGGCTTGTGGATTGGGTGGGAACCGTGGCTCAGCATCTTGCTTGACACAGAGCTGGGAGGGAAGCATCACTGTCAAAGCAGACTGTTACTTTGTGTGAATCTATGCCTAAAATTCCACCATAGCTTTGCCCTGAGAAAGCCTATCTTCAGTGCCCAAGGCGATTTCCTCTTCCATGATATTTTCCCCTGTAAGGAGTAGGGAGAGGGGATGGATAGCAGTCCTCACCTCTGCACAGTAGCCTTGAACCTGGTGGGGGGTCGCAATGAAATTGGTCATGATCACGAAGGAGCTGTCCCCCTGGAAATGAGGAGTAGGGGAGGGAAGCGCGGAGTTCTGAGTTGGGAGAACAGCTCCAAGAACACAAACACTGGCCCAACAAGCCCCTGAAATCCACATGGTACCCAGCAGCCTCCATACCCCGTGACATCAGAATGGGTTGATATTACAACCTATTTTTGCCCCTCATTCATAGTCAGGGAAGCTGAGGCCCAGAGGGAGAAGGGAGCTGCACTAGTCCAATATGGAGATTGGACAGAGTCCAACCCCTACTCTGAGCCAGGCCCTGTGGGTGGAATGTATACCCCTGAGTAAGCTTACCTGGGCGGGGAAGACGTAGTCAGCTACATCCCAGACCTGGGGGCCCAGGCCAGGGAGCTGCGTCACAGCCAGACCCTTGAGTTTCACAGACACGCTGCTGATGAGGCCACTTGAGGTCTGATAGCCCTTCTCGTAGACAAACACCCACCTGTTAGGTGTTTTGGGGATTAAAGGAGTCAGAGCTGGGCCAGGCCATTCAAAGATGGCATGAGGCTGTATGGGCTGCTGCCCTTTCTGGCACCAGCTAGACATTTCAAATATTTTCCCTTCCCTTCTCCAGATGTGTCTCTGAGCCATTCTTTGCTTCTAAAGCTACATCTTGGGCTGGGGGCAGGAGAGCCTCACCTGCTTCCCCGGGCTGGCCTGTACCTAATGTCCCCCCCCCTCTTTTTACTAGGAAAATACTAATTCCTGGAGAGGAGATCCACTGAAGGACTCTTTCAGATCCTTTTCCAAGAGCAGGATTTGCTGAGGCCTAGAGACCAAGCTTCTTGGACCATAATCCTCATGTCCAGAGTGCTCCTTCCTTCTTGAGATTCTTCCATTGAGAACTAGCAGAGCATGATGGCCGAAAACCTGGCCTTTGTTTCCTGAGAGGATGGATTGGAATCCCAGCTACACTACTCATGGGCTGCGTGATTTTGGATAAACTATTCAATCCCTCTCTGCCTCAGTTTCCTCATCTGTAAAATGAGAATAACAATAATAGTACTATTTGTACTTGCTGTGATTTACTGCATGTAAATCACTTAGAACGGGGACTGGCATGCAGTAAGCACTACATAGAGATTAGCTATGATCATCTCAGCCATGCTGGGAGCTCCTGGCAAGGGGGACAGGAAGGAAACAGAGGGGTAAGTGGCCTCTGCATTATGTGGCCCCAGTTGAGGCCCTTGTGGAGTGACTCAGGATGGAGGCCTCCCAGCTTTCTTTCTTTCTTTTTTTTTTTTTTTTAAAGATTTTATTTATTTATTTGACAGACAGAGATCACAAGTAGGCAGAAAGGCAAGCAGAGAGAGACGGGGAAGCAGGCTCCCTGCTGAGCAGAGAGCCTGATGTGGGGCTCCATCCCAGGACCCTGGGATCATGACCTGAGCCGAAGGCAGAAGCTTTAACCCACTGAGCCTCCCTGGTGCCCCACTTCCCAGCTTTCCTAGAAAATTCTGGCCTTCCCTTCCTAGCATGAAGAACCCCTGTTCCTTTGGGTTCTCCATTTTCTGTCTGGGAGGGTCAATGAAATTAACCTCCCTCCTAGCTTTGGGTGTAGGGAGGGTGGGGCACATTACCAAGATTTGCCAACCACTGTTCCATTGCCCTAGCAACAGGGATAGGTCCAAAGATGGACACACAACCTGGGGAGTTTCAGCAATGAGGCTAGGATTTTTCTGGGAATTATTGGGAAAGAATCCTTTCTGTTAGGTAACTAAGCAAGGTAGCCATAAGACCAAAACTATGGTTAGTCATCTTGCTATCTCACAGAGAGATAAGTCTAAGAATGTAGCCAACTTAGAGGAAAGTTAGGCCAGGAGATGGAAGAGGGCAGTCTCCTGACAATGGTTGAGGACCCGGATCTAGTCAAGCCTGACACATGTTAAAAAAAAAAAAATCTACTTCTGGACTTTCCTGTTACACGAGCTAGTAAATTCCCTTTCTTTATTTAAGGCAGTTTGGGTTTGGTTTTTGTTGTTAACAACTGAGAGTCCTGGGTATGGTCCATTTCCTTCAGGAAAGACTGCATGATGTCCACGATAGCCAAACTATGGAAAGAGCCTAGATGTCCATCAACAGATGAATGGATAAAGAAGATGTGAGATACACACACACACACACACACACACACACACACACACACACAATGGAATACTATGCAGCCATCAAAAACCCTGAAACCCTGCCATTTGCAATGATGTGGATGGAACTAGAGGGTATTATGCTAGGAGAAATAAGTCAATCAGAGGAAGACAATTATCATATGATCTCTCTGATATGAGGAATTTGAAAGGCAGGGCAGGGGGGTCATGCGGGGTAGGGAGGGAAAAGATGAAACAAGATGGGATGGGGAAGGGAGACCAAACATAAGACACTCTTAATCTCAGGAAACAGAGGGTTGCTGGGGGGTAGGGGGAGGGATAGGGTGGTTGGGTTATGGACATTGGGGAGAGTATGTGCTATGGTGAGTGCTGTGAATTGTGTAAGCCTGATGATTCACAGACCTGTACCCCTGAAGCAAATAATACATTAAATGTTAATAAAAAAAAAAAAAAAAAGGAAAGACTGAATGGAGATGCAGTGTCACTGTGTTTGAGTGTGTGTGACCATTTGTGGTACCCATCAGAGTGTGTAGCTCTGTATCTCTGGGGGAAATCTGTGGCTCTGACTGCCCAAGCAGAGTTCAAAGACCCTCGCCTGTGTCCCAGAGCTCAGGTCTCATTGCAGTTCTCTGGACATCTTAATCTCAGAGTCAGTGCTAGGTCTCTGGGGGTGGTCTCCCAGCCCCGGGCTCCAGGAAGTCAGCCTACCCAGATTTTCCTCTCCCCCACCACGGTCTCCACTTTATCTTCTCCAGGCATATCCCCCAGCTTGGACCAGGAGGCGCCCTTCCCAAGCCTGAACATGGTCACTGCTGCCCCCTGCAGGTCCCAGATGGCACCAGGTAAGGCAGGACAAAGGCTTCCAGTCCTAAGTGCTTCCAGCCTTATCAGGGAGACTGGGCGCATCACCTACCCCTACCCTCCTCAGCCTCCTTCCTCCAAGGAGGATCCTGACTCCATGCCCAAGCTCAGAGGAGCTGTTGGGGACTCTGGGGAGCTTCTCCATGTTCTGAACCCCTCTAAATAGTGGAGTAACCAAGAGTGTGGCCCCCAAAGTGTAACAGAAGCCATGATTCAGTTATCAGCACTGCCACTCACCACCTGTGTGACTTTAGCCTCACCAGGCTAAAGGCTAAACCTCTCTGAGTCCTGGCTTTCTCAATAAAACAGATGTGATGGCACTTACCTCAAAAATGCTGCTTTTCATTCAATAAAAATGAGCAAGACCCTCCTATGTACTGAGCTATGGGCTGGGTCGCAGGAAGAAAGCAAGTCTAAATGACTGGAGGATTTCCCATGAGTTCTCATTAAGGAAATTAGCATGCAGTAGGCACATAATAAATAATCCTCTTATTTTCACTGTCTTGAGTCTGTAATTCCTCTTAATATGTTCACCTGCCCTCATCCCCCTGGCTTCTCAGCCCCAGATTTTTATCTCCACTTCTGCACTCTCCCTGGAGATCTAATTCCACACATTCATTTGGTGATTCAACAAGTATTTATTGATTGAGTCCTTATTATGTGCCAAGCAGTGTTCTAGGCACTAAAAATACAGAAGTGAACAAAGCCAACCAAAATTCTGCACTCAACAGTCTTACATACATGTTTATATGACACAATGTTTTGTGATACCCATTCCTTCTCCCTCCCCTGGTCCCTCACCGCAGACATCATACAGGTACCTCAAATTCAGCTCAAACCCTTGCAAAACAACCTGGCAATTCCTCAAAAAGTTAAGTATGGAATTACCACTCAACAAGTATTTATTGATTGAGTCCTTATTATGTGCCAAGCAGTGTTCTAGGCACTAAAAATACAGAAGTGAACAAAGCCAACCAAAATTCTGCACTCAACAGTCTTACATACATGTTTATATGACACAATGTTTTGTGATACCCATTCCTTCTCCCTCCCCTGGTCCCTCACCGCAGACATCATACAGGTACCTCAAATTCAGCTCAAACCCTTGCAAAACAACCTGGCAATTCCTCAAAAAGTTAAGTATGGAATTACCACT